AAGTACTTTAAAACATATAAATAAGTTACCCGGGCAATTGATTTACATCAGCCAATCAGATGAACTTCTTCCTATGAATCGAATCTACCACTACTCAATCACCATTTAAACCCTCCGAACCCTCTACTTCGGTCAAATCTAATGATATTAGTGCTTCTAGGTCGTCAGAGACCTCTGTTGAAGCTGTTGTTGTAATTGATTCTTCTCATGAAAAAAAAAATCAAGTTATCGACCAGACTACATTGATTTGGATGCTTAAGATAACAAAAAAACTGATCTATTGGATTTTGAAGACGATAATGAGTCAGACCATAATGCTCAAATTAAGGATGAAGAACAAGAAGACTCACAGTTTAAGAAACGAAAAAGAAATGTTAAAATCGTTACAAATAAAAGAAAAAAGAGCGTTAAAAAGAACAAATAAGTATAAGCAAATATAAATAATTTATCAATTTTTACAATGTTTACTATATTATATTTTAGCGAAATAAAATTATAAAGTAACCAAATTTTAACATGTATGATTGCATGTTTAGAAATTTTACTTGTGATAATTATCAATATTATTGTCGTTCTCCATTCAATAAAATTTAATAAAAGAGCAATCGTGTCTTTATATCCAAATAACTCAAAAGTTATAATATTCTTATATACATTTAGCCATGTGCTTTTTCATAATTGCAAGTCACCCTAAAACCTTTCATTTTATGCGTTATTTAATAGTGTTTAACTTATGAAGGATTCTTACAAAGCATTTATTATTGTCACTATTTATACCCGAACTTATAGAAGGACAATCTGAGAGTAACAATATTATTATAGTAAAATAGGTACAGTACATTATGAAAGGCCCCGGAAAGCTAATTCGACGATTTTTTTTTTCTTTTCTTTTCTTTTTCTTTCTTTTATTATTTTATTTTGTTTTGTTATTTTCTCTTATAGTAACTTGATACAGATATTTTAGTATTGTGTTAAACCAAATTAAGCAGGTAAAGAGATCATTATCATAGTTAGAAAGAAATTAAATATTATCGTACGTATATGTATATCGAATATATAGTATTTGTCATATGTCAAATATATATTTGTCAAATATGTCGTATATAGTGAATATGTTGGGTTTAGTGAATTTATTCAATGTATACATACTAGTAATGTAAAAAAAGCATAAAAGACCTGCCTTTGCGCTTCAATAAAGATAACTTCTGAAGTTTAACTTAAAAAGTTCCAAGAAAACCTTCAAAATCAGAGTAGAAACCTTTGCCATTAAAAATTATACGTCACTTTCGTATTTTCTTGTCCCTGTGACTATCGTAAATTTTGTCGAATTTAGTAAAAGAAAGAAATTGTATTAGTAATACAACCCTTATATTAAAATCGATTCTGATTAAGTTTGTGATCAACATCATTATACCTGATTCGTGATCTTGTGATACCTTAACCTTGTACCACATTTTGACTGGCTAATTTCGATCACAGGACCCAGCCGCAGTACCTACGAAAAGAAAAATTTGTAGTATTAATGAAGGTGTTAAAGAAAGTAAAGTACTTATTAAAGAAATACGAGAGCACTTATCTGAGTCAAACACTATCTCTACTTGTCCAATTAACCTACCAAGTCTTTCTACATCTCGATCGTTGCCTTACCAATATTAGGGTTTGGTTAATGTAGTTTAGTGTTCTGGTTAAAGTATTTTAGTTGATACTGGTATTTTTGAGTAGTAAGTTATTATATATCGACCTAGTAACTTTTCTGACGCAGCTAACACTTTCTCAACGTACTACGTATAATACATCGAAGATCATACTTGAATTGATAATAATCTATGCATAATTGTAGATTATGTTAGAATTTTTTTTTTACTAAAAATGAAACCATGAACTTAGAAAGTAAGGGTTCTAAAGGTGATGGGTGAAAATGAATTTTCATAAGAAACATAGTAACAGAAGTAAATAAAGATCTATAAAAAGGATCGATTTTTGCCTTGTAAAGTTTTTAGTCTTTGATTCCTAAGGGGTTGGTAATAGGGATTGATTTCTTAAGTATTAAATAAGAATTGATTTCGTTAAATGATAAAAACTGTTATGCTTAAATACGAGTCAATAATACATACAACTTAAAGTAATAAGTTGACTCTGATTACTTATTACATGTTTATTGTATACTTAAAAAAGCCAAATCGATAAATTAAATTATCCTAACATGTGTAACTATTATATAAGATCCAAACAATAAATTCTAAATAAATGTTATAACCTATATCGAATAAAAAAGATAAAAAGCCTGTTACTGATGATTGCATAATTCTCTCACACCTACTGTAGACATAAGTCTTAATTCATCATCTTTTGTAAAGTATAAAAGGTCGCAGTAGTTGACAATAAGTATTGGTTTTTTTAATTTCGGGCTAAACGTGTTAATCATATTACGGGCTAAAAATGTTACTTCCAAAAACATTTACAATATTAAGAGGTAACTACACCGTAAATCCTGTGGTTAAAGAATTAGGGACGCCACTGTGATCGGGCTATGGATATTCGGTTGTGACAGCTGAATCGCGATGGTCAGCCACAAATACAAAATTCCAAACATCTGAAAAACTAGCACGCATAGAAGGGAAGAAAGAGAAACGTAATATTTAGAGGCTTAACTTTTTCTAAATAGAATACTAAATTCTAAAAGCTTCATTTTTTACGCCAGAATCATATAACGTAACACTTATTTGGCCCTTTTTACTTATCTGAAATCATATGTTTCAATGGATTTGGGCTGTTAACGAAAAGCATTAAATGCTCAAAGCCTTTTAGGCGACTTAGAAAGGTCAAAAGCTATAAAAGCACTGTAGTTTTGCCGTTGTAAAATGTAAGGCCTTCGGGTTAAAAACATACTATTCAATAAATAAAACTAAAACCTCTTAATAACTAAAACCTCTTAATAACTAAAACCCTTTTGATAAATCACCTTCGTCAAGCCTCTGGTGAGCCCCTAATCTCCTATTCTTACAGTATATCTTAGTTCACCTTTTAGGTCAATGTTAAATTCCTCCCGTAACGATCAAGATAAAGCTCTTATATCATTGAGTTTTTAATTTTAATTTAACAGAAATTATCATATTAGCTTAAAACATGCTATGAACCATATAGAAACTAAAGGTGAAGCTAGAAAAAGAAAGAATTGTGAACAAATAGCCTCGAAACGTAAAAATCCTCAAACTCGTGTATTACTGAATATGAATCGAGATAATTGTTGAAAGAAAAGGAAAATTCAAGCTCAACTTACGAAAGACCGTCTGGCAAATAATTTGGGCATTCCTTTGCTGCATTATGGAATTGGATAAAGAATTTAAAAAAATTAATCAGCAATATATTAATTGGCCACAGCCTATTAGAAAAGAAATAGCTAAAGACGCGTTAGCTGAATTTCGCAATAAAATCGATCTTGATAAATTGCGTGAATTGCTATGTGCGATTTGTTCAGGCATTTGTAATTACAAACATTACAAAAAATTTCTGTGCAAGAAATTGATCTTTCTTTAATTAAGGCGCCGCTAGACTTGACTGATCTATCATTTGAAATCGACTTCAATTATAATCATCCTTACATTACCGCCAGTGGACTGAACGTTCTTCTCGACCATTCAGGATTCATATACTCTGAACATCTTGATAATCCTAATAATTCTTGCGACCCTTTTCAGTTGCGAATTTGCCAATCTTGTTATAGTTGTTTGCAAAAGTGCAAGACTCCACCATTATCATTAGCAAATAACATGTGGATTGGACCCATGCCTACATGTCTTCAAGACCTAACAATTCCAGAACAACTCCTCATTTCACCTGGATACTTATGTATGAATCTCATACAGATAACAAAAAGAAGACATACTCATCATAAACTTAAGGGTCACGTCATAACGTTACTTCAAAATCTAAGCGCTTTAATCGATGTATTGCCCCTACCGATATTTAAGCTCTGTGAATATATAAAAGTAGTATTTGTCAGAAAAGGAGCCCCTACTCAACACCAACTCAAGAAAGTGCTCCAAGTTCGAAAAAGTAAGGTGACAATAGCCCTCCGGTAGCTTTTTGCCCATAATAAATTATTTAAAAATAGGATTAAGCTTGATGAAAATAATTTAAATAATCTACTGGAAGGGGAAATTCCTGATGCTTTAATTGACGATTCTCCAGTCAACTGAAGAATGATCATAGTGAAACGCGGTTCTATATATAAATTACTATAGATGCGAAAGTAGAAATTTTCTAGTGATTGTCTAAAGAAAACTTTTTTCATACTAAGTTAATCATCTTTGAGTCTCTAAATAAAGTTGTAGAGCTCATCGAGACGAATCTAATGGTAGTTAAATCAT